AATTCAGTTTCCTTCTGGCCGTATGGATAATGGAGAGTTGCAAATAAATATATTCAAAGCTTCCTTTTAGAGCACTTGTTTTCCAGATATGATGTGCAGATTTCCTTCACATAATACTATTCTTAGGGTACATTTTGTACAGAAAGGAAAACAGAGACAAGATAAGTTGGATGACTTTCATGGAGTTGATGGCAGATTATGGGTGAGAAATGGGAAAGGTGGCGTGCCTGTAGGGAAGATAAAAGCAATAGAATGAGGATTGGGAGGCTGCCGAGGGCAAGTATCTATCTCACGATTTGGATGAAGGCTGGCTCTGTCTTTAGTGTTATTTGAATCGTTCATGCGGGTGATGCTTCAACAGGGAAATGCACAGTGATCGTGGTAACTCAAGTTATCAGGTTGCTAATGAGAAGCACAAGTCTTTTTCTAGGAGCAGGTCCATTCCCCCGGGAGGGTGTTGTGTGTGGAGTTGAAGATGACACCACATAAATTAGCACTTGATTATAGGTTGCTTTGTATTGTTCACTTGCATTTTATTCTCTAATCCAATCAACATACTTTGAAACCTTTTAAGTGCTATCCATTGGTAAAATGGTGAGCCATATCAAACTTGCCCTGACCTCATGGCACTTTAGTCCAGTGAGAATTATTAGTATGAATATACAAATAATTACGAGTTGATATAAGTGCTATTTGTGGGAAAAATAGCCGCTGATCTTTTTATTAATAGTTATATGGAGGTATAATTTAAATACCATAAAATCCATCCATTTGACACTGAATTATTTAAGGCAAAAATCAGATCATGCCCCACCCCCCACTTGAAATTCTTCAGTGGTTTTTTGTCACTGTTGAAAAAAGCTAAAACTCTTTAACCAGGCTTACCAGCCTTACATAATCTGGAACTCACTCTGCTCTAGCCAAAATTGCCTTCTGACAGTTCAGAGAAGGTATCAAGCTCTTTTCTGCCTCAGGGCCTTGACACATGCTGTTCCCTATGCATGACATGAACTTCCCCTGATTCTTCATATAACTGGATCTTTCTTACAATTTGGGTCATTGTTTCAAAGTCACCTTTTCTTTTTTTTTAAAAATGTTTATTCATTTTGAAAGAGAGAGAGAGAGAGAGAGAGAGGGCATGCGTACATGAGCAGGGGAGGGGCAGAGAGAGAGGGCAAGACAGAATCCCAAGCAGGATCCATGCTGTCAGCGCAGAGCCTGACACGGGGCTCGATCCCATGGACCATGAGATCATGACCTGAGCCGAAATCAAGAGTTGGACGCTTAACTGACTGAGCCACCCAGGTGTCCCCCAAGTCACCTTTCTGAAAGATCTTTTCTGGCCATGCTATGCAGAGTTTTGATTCTTGATACTCTGCCTTCTCTTCATTCCCTCTCCTACTACCTGTTATATCTCCGGGCTAATTATCATAAGCTGTACAAGTTTTGTCTGTGCATTATGACTACAAGGTTCTTAAGGACACTACCCTCTGTCTTCCTTGCAGGGGAGTGAACAAGGTATTGGGCATACAAGTGATACAGAGGAAGAAGAACTTACTATAAAGATCTTTAGAGCAGTATTGCCCGAAGTATATGTGGATTGGTGCTGGTCTGCTGTTTGTTGGCAGTCAGAGATGAAAAAAGGGAAGAACTAGAAAGCAAGCCTTTATAAACCTTTATAGCAGTTTGACAGGGTGATATTATGGCTATTCAATGTAACACTTATATTTTATCTATCTTGTTTTGTTTATTTCATGTTTTTAGTAATTTACTTTTGTCGCACTTTTGTTGATCTGTGAAGATTTGGGGGAAAAAACTGGCCCTTCTTCACAGGTAGTTTGAGAAGCACTGTTTTAGAGGACATGATCTGAGAGAGCTTGGGAAAGAAAACAGAATTCTTTCCATTTACCTTACCAGAACATTGGGTAGAGAGTGTCTTTCCTTGTTAATTTCAGGCAGGAAAAAAGAAAGCGAGAGAGAGAAGGAGAAAGGGATGGGTGATTACGGTTGGGGCATTTTTAGACAGGGAGAATGAGAGTCTCAAAGTTGGCAACTTTAAGTTGACAAGAGACTGTGGATTTCTAAATGCCCGGTAGGAAGTTGGACCCCAGCCCAGTCCCCAATTCCTCATTCCCTTGGTGCTTTGCTGTATCCTATCTCCATTTGGAGAAGAAAGTGAATCCTCTGCCACCAGAGAAGCTGTGTACCCAGGGGAGGTGACTGGGTTCCTGGCATTTGGGACCAGTGGGGAGGTCAGTGCTGAGGTGTCATTGTATACAACATGTGGCTTTGAGCATTTGAATTTTTTTTTTTTTTTTGTAGAACATAAAAATAGGAGAACAAAGGAAGGGAAAGAGTAGAGAACAAAACCAGAAAACCCAGAAGGGGAAGGGAGAAGAAGGGAACAGTTGTTATTGGCAAGCAAAACACATGACCCCCATCTCACTCAAACTTGTTTTCTCTCTAAACAAAGTGGCCCCTTCTCTGTTTCAGGTAACTTCCAGGGCTCAGTAAGCTGCAGAGTTCACTTCTTCAAGCTTAGGTTACAGCTGGTTGCCTCTTTTGGGTTCTGTTTTATGAATGGTGCTTTTGTTTGAGTAAAAATTTGAAAAAACTAGATGTAAGCTAGTGCCCTTCACCCCCACCATTATTTCCTGGCATATTAATAATATGAATGGGGCAGATGGGAGGGAAAGAGAAAAGAGGGAGCAAGAGCAAGAAGGGATATGAGAGAGCAGGAGAGAAAGGACAGAGAGAGAGAGAGAGAGAGAGAGAGAGAGAGAAGGACAAGGGATTGTGGCAGGAGAGAAGAGAGTGATGGACAGATAGAATTGGTACCTGCTAAGATGCATTTCAAAATGGCCTTTGGACAGGGGCGCCTGGGTGGCGCAGTCGGTTAAGCGTCCGACTTCAGCCAGGTCACGATCTCACGGTCCGTGAGTTCGAGCCCCGCGTCGGGCTCTGGGCTGATGGCTCAGAGCCTGGAGCCTGTTTCCGATTCTGTGTCTCCCTCTCTCTCTGCCCCTCCCCTGTTCATGCTCTGTCTCTCTCTGTCCCAAAAATAAATAAAAAAACGTTGAAAAAAAAAATGGCCTTTGGACAGGTTTCAAACCCAGATGCACAAGGCTGTCCTTGGTTTTTAAGCCTTTTTGTCTGTAATCACTTTACTCTCATAAGTGTATAGTTTGTATTTCATTCATATGCATTTATATCTTTGCCAGTGTTCTTCCGTGACCTTTGTGGGGCTAGCCTTTTGTCTCACTGAGATGCTCGACTGGGTCAAATGGGAGGAGCAAGGTGCTCTGTCAGGAGTCTGAACAACCCACGTTGGAGCCTAGCTTGACAATGGATTAGCTCTGAGACTTTGGGCAAGTCATGTATTTTTTTCAGAGCCATTTTCCTGATGTCTAAAAGGTTTGGGGAGGTGAATAGGTCAGTCTCTCCTCATGGGAGTTCTGAGTAAATTTTGTAAGAAGTCTATAGAAAATAGCTGGCACAGGGGCACCTGGGTGGCTCAGTTGGTTAAGCATCCGACTTCGGCTCAGGTCATGATCTCACAGCCCGTGAGTTCGAGCCCTGCGTCGGGCTCTGTGCTGACAGCTCAGAGCCCGGAGCCTGTTTCAGATTCTGTGTCTCCCTCTCTCTCCGCCCCTCCCCCATTCATGCTCTGTCTCTCTCTGTCTCAAAAATAAATAAACATTAAAAAAAAAAAGAAAATAGCTGGCACAGCAGAGAAAAGTGTAAGATATGTTAGCTTCCTTCCCTTTGCTGCCCTAGCGCGATGACCTCCTTGATGGACTGCTCATGCGGCCCTCTACCGGTGGCAGCTGACATGACCTAGCTTCCACCTGCAGGGTCAACAGCAGTCTCCCACTCTGGGGTCAGTCTTGACCTAGGCAGAAAAACTGCTGCATCTTCTAAAAGTGGTTAACTGGTACAGCACTGAATGAGTCCACTATGGCTCATGTTCTTCCCTGGCACCTCAAATCTTGGGGTTTTTTTTTTTTGGTCTTATTTTGGGGGCTGGGTGCTGAACATCTGTCGCTGGACCATCTCAATCCAGATCCAATTCACTTTGTGTCAACTGCGAGTTGGTTTGGATTGATCCTTCAGATCCTCAGTCATGTTTAGAACTTAGGGAAAGGGTACTCATACCTTCTTGGCTTCTGCCCACCTGAAATGATTTTAAGTCTGCTTATGACTTTATACCCCTAACAGGGCTCTGGTTTTGTTCTCCCATTTGTATCCTCAGTGTTGTCATAGCTGCTGTGCCTATACTCTTGCTCCTGGCCTTCTCCGGTCCCAACTGACCCTCCACGAGGGAAGAGATGTAGAGCCGGAAATGATCTCGGAGTGTTTCCCAAATTGTAGTCATTAATATACCACCTTTATGGTTTTTTGCTATATAGGGAGATCATCTGAGCCACAATTTACCTAATATTTTTCTTTACGTTGACTAAATTCTTTAACTTAAATATCTACTTTACCCTCATTCTAAGGAATGGTATTTATAAAATCACAGACTTGAGATGGTAGTTATCGTTCTGCAACACACATTTAGCATAAATTCAAAAGTAGTAATTTTAAGGAATTTTGCTATGTACTTTCTTATGTACACTAGCTTGTGTCTAAGTAACAACTTGAGGAAATAGTGATCTGGTCTACCTCTCCATTCTACAGATCAGGAAACCTGCTTCCTAGCTCCGGGTCTAGTGCTTGTTTTCACTATGCCTGGGGTTGTTAGCCTGGGGTTCTGCACACAGTGACTCGACTATCATTGACACATATGAAAAAATTAAATCACAATACACACATGCTTGGGAATGCGGCGTAAAGGATCCTGATCCAGGGGCTCCGTCGGTTAAGCATCCGACTCTTAATTTCAGCTCGGGTCATGATCTCACGGTTTATGGGATCAAGCCCCATGTGAAGCTCTGCACTGACAGTGAGGAGCCTGCTTGGGATTCTCTCTCTCTCCCCCCCCCCCATCTCTCTCTGCCCCTTCCCTGCTCTATCTCTCAAAATAAACATTTTTTTAAAAAAAAGGATCCTCATCAATACCTTGCCATGAAAGAGAGACAGGTTGCCTCACTGACAGATTGTATACATGCTGTTTACCTCTAGTACTAAAGCGGAAAAACATTACCACCTTAGAGTCCTGGAAGAGAAGACAACAATTAATTATGGAACAATCCCTAAAACATGGCATCAGCAACTGATACAGACTTTGTAAGAGACTTTCCTGCTCTCTCCTCATTGGGATGTCCACTTCTGGGCCTGTGTGTCCACCGGGTCCCATCTCTGCCTGTGATTCTAATAGAATCTTTTGCTTCTTCCAGGGACTTCAACAAGCTAAAACTTTCTACAGCTTGTTTGTCTGCTCTGACACGTACACCCTGACCTGTGAAAGGCCTGTGTTGAAGCATTCATGGACTATCCACGGCTTCTCAGTTTAGGATTACCACTGGGGAAAGTCCACGTAACAGCACAAAGAAGTCTTTGCCAGACAGTCGGAGTTCCATGGCAGAGGGCATACAGGGACTCTGAGCGGCTGATTCCAGAAAGCTTAGGTAAGTGCTGTGACTGTTTTTGACTTTGCATTTGTAGAAGAAGGCAGTGGTCCTGCACTGTTGTTATACCAAGACCCAGATTAGACTTTGTTCCCCTGTGCATGTGTTCTCAGCTTTCATCCAGCTGGCTCATTTTGAAAGGAAGCATCTAAGCTCCACTTACCCTTTTTTGACCATCTAAGTAACTTCTAAATAGTCTTGGTGTGTGTGTGTGCATGCAACTGTGTGTGTGTGTGCATGCATGCACGTGTGTGTGTGTGTGTGTGTGTGTATCTGTCTGTCTTTGGTGGAGGTGTTTGGAGGTATTTTTATCTGCTTTAAAAAGCCTGGAAACCATGGTGGGATAATCTATCTCATTTTTATCAGAAACTAACAACAGTTCCCATCTCTATTGCCCATAGGCAATTTGCTATAGAGTACAGGGACTCATGGAAACATGGCTGAATTCAAATGAAAAGTAGGTCACTAGAGAAAATGGAGTGGCAGCTCAAAGTGTGGTGAGTGAGTTCATGTTTTCCCTAGGCAGACTGACATGACGCTATGTATTAACGTCCTTTCTGAAGGAAGACCACTTGTTCTCGTAGTAGGCTTCCACCCGATGTCTCAGGATTCTGAGTCTTGGTTAGGCGTTCAGCTAACCATTCTTCTCCCCAACCTTGTCCTAATGATTCTCCCTTGCAGTTCTGTCACTCCATAGGCTTTCATTTCTGTCAGGTCTGGGTCTCAGGTTGAAACCAAAGCTCATCTGAAGGATTGTTGGTAGGAAACAGGGAGGCCTGGTTACAATTCTAGAATGGGGAAGGTCTTTACATGTCATCTGGTCACTGATGTGCATGGCTCGGATCTCCCTTTAAGATGGAACCTGTCTCGAGGAGTTGAGTTAGCTGACAGCCTCCAGTTTCAGGATCTGCCTCAGCTTTCAGGAGGGAGGTATGTGCTTCCTGGGCAGCTGCCAGCCAATGGCTGAGCAAGGCAGTGGTGCAGTGGCTCATGGGTTCGGGGCAGCACGGGGTTCTTGGCACTGGAGCTCCCGGTTTTGCTGGCCAAGACTTTCTCGGAACTGTACCGCCGTCTGAAGCTCTTCTCATCAACCTTCTTTCCTTTCCCTCTCCTTTGCTGAGATCAGAAACTCTTCCTTCTCACTGGCGACCCTCTCCCTTTTATTTTGCACAGGCGTCACTCGCAGTAAAGGTCTTGCACTTCTAATTGTATCTTAGCATCTGCTTCCAAGGGACCCAACCAATACAGCAATGAACTCCCCACTCCTGTCTGAGTTTTACAGTAAAGGGAACTGAGGTCCCAAGGAGGTGGAAGTGACTTACCCAAGATCCCACAGCTAGTTAGTAGCAAAGTCAGTACGACGGCCCAAACCTTCTGACCTCTAGTTCAATGCTCTTTCCCAAACTTCAGCAGTCCATGCACCACAGCCACGTATACAAAAGCCAGATTTTGCTATGTGTGCATCCCCCGTGCTCTTGTTTACATGACACATTTGACACATTAAGAAATTAATTCGTTTGTCAGTAAATCCCTACTTTAGCCCTGTATGAAACAATAATATCCATGACATTTGGCTTTTGATGTGCTACTTTTATATTTTTCTAGCACATATCGAATAACACATGGCCATTATAATAAAAAGTTTGTGTGTGCACTACTTAAACTCATCTCATATGCTGTCAGTGATGGGTGAACCCTGGCATGTATAAGGCCAGACAGAAGGAAAAGGGAGAGGGAGGGAGGGAAGGAGGGAGGCAGGCAGGAAGGAAGGAAGGAAGGAGAGCAAAATACTTATTGATGAGAAAGAAATGGTGAAATCCCATCAATAACTGCCTCAGGTGCCTTGCTGGGACATCTGTGTTTCCTGCCAGGCCCTGGCCTAACTTCCAATGAGTCAGCAAACAGCCTTTACTTATTGGTTGCCCCAAAAAACAAATTGAATGCATTCACATGTAAATGAAGAATCAAGATTTCTCCTCCTAAAAGAGTCAATTCATTTGTCCCCCGAATGGTCTGAAGTGCTCCACTTTGAGCAATTTATTGGAGAAGATGCATACTACATTTCAAGGCAGTAGCTCTAATCTTCCTCTTATAAAGTGTTTCAATGAACCCACTTCCTAAGAAAGAGGTTTAAGTAACATTTCCTTTCTCGTTTAAAAAATATTAATTATCAAAAACAAAATAAGATTTTTTCTTTGATTTAAGAAATCTAAGAGCATAATCATAATAATCTTTCACCTTTGTTGCTATTCTTTTGGTGCAAGAGCTTTATAATCATCATCATTCTGTTGTGCTAATGAAACAAAATCGGGGTTAGAACTCATGTTATGTAATAATTTAATAGATTCTTACTATCATAGTGATCATTTAACATTTCTCTTTCATTTCATGGAGATGGTATTATTCAGAACCTCTGCTAAACAGATATTACTGATTCAGAAGCCATTTTGTTAATTCCTAAACCAATTGGCTTTTTGGAGAAAGAACTATAAACTAACCTAATGAAATGGTAGCTTCTAGAATAGCACAAATTTTAAAGGCATGGGAAACATGAAGGAAAAGACCTGCTTCTGGCATCTGGTTTGAAAAGATCTGGTAGGGGTCTGCTTCTGGAAAGACAAATCCAGTACTGATGGACACATGTACTTGGGTTAATTGGGGAAAGAGTCTGCTGCCTGTGTCCCCTGTCTCTCGTGTTATATTTCAAACCTGGGTAAGATGGTTTACATTTCAAATCCAAATTGAATCGAAGAATAATTGGTGAGGAATCATGTCAAATTACTATGTTTTAAATGAGGAGAGACTATCAGCTTCACAGTTGAAACAGAGACAGCGTAATTGAAAACAAGGCTATTGCATTCAGGGTTTGGTATTTACTGACTCATTTCTTCAAGTGTCTAGAGAACACGTTAGTTTCTTCATGTATTTCTTTTTTGGATGATCGCAGACGACACAAACTAAATAGAATATATTGCCTTGGGAAACAAAAACTCTGCTTGTTCTTACCAGGTTAGCAAGCATGTAGTGATAACCTCTTGAATGTTTTCCCAGGATCACAACCTGCAGAAGAAATAAGAAATCCTGTTTATTTAAGAAGGGCATTTTCAATTACCCAATCAATGGGAAATGCAACAATCAATCAATGGGCTAGAGCAAATTGCTTTTAAGTGATCAACAAAGTGTCAGGTCTTTTACATACAGTAAAATCACAGTTAGCTTGAACAGAGTTCCTTCTGGACATTTCAATTTCAGGCAGAGAATACAGGAAGGATGGCTAATGTTAAAGTTAAGAGTGCCAACGACGAGGGAGAAAAAGCTCTCTAAACTTCCAGGTCAGTTGCATCGTTGTCACTTAAAATAGATGGCAGAAGCGATGATGATCCTCCACCCATGAACTGGATTGTGTACTTAGCTGCTGAGACGGAAAATGGGCTGAACTTGGAATACAAATTAGAAAATAGAACGTACAGTCCATTTTTTTGTTGTTATCTGGAATGCTTAGGGAATAGAACACGCGAGGAATGGGGTTAATGGGATTTTCAGGTTAATCGAGGTTGCTTTCGCCTATTGAAACTTTTCGAAAATGCTTACCTTCCTTCTCCTGCCTAATGTGAAAGATTTGTGACCATTTGTCCAGCTTTTGGTACTGAATGTGATGCCTTACGGGAGTGAGGGTGGGGATTTCCCCCGAGAGGACATTTGGAGATGCCTGGGGGCATTTTTCGGAGTCACATCTGGAAGGGTATCTAGTGGGGAGAGGCCAGTAGTGATGATGCTAAACATCCTACAGTGTGTGGTGCAACCCCTCAAAACAAAGAATTATCTGGTAAAAAAGATGTCAATAGGGCCGAGGTTGAGAAATCCTGCCTTGGGGTCATCATTCTTATGGTCATTTTCATGAGTAACTCTGTATTAATTCTAAGCCTTACTGTTTACCAAATGCATTTTTGTTCTTTCAAAATATATGAGTGGATTGAGTAATTTCCAACCAAATATATTGGTTGTCAGTCGGAAGTTTTTGACTAAATAGTTGATGTTAGCTTATTTCCAGATAGCTGAGATGAGCAAATTCTGGTTAATTGAGGATTTTATAAAATGTCATTTTATTAAGTACTGAGTATGTACAAAGTACTGTACCGAATACAGGGAGTGGGGACAAGGAGGGGGTGACACAGACGTGAAAGATACAAACTACTGTACCGAATACAGGGAGTGGGGACAAGGAAGGGGTGACACAGACGTGAAAGATACAACCAGAAGTGGAAAAAGGTTTTGTGCTAAGTCTGAAGCCGATACCACTTTACGAGCCCTCTTTAAGAAAAGCAGTACAAAATTACGAACAGTAAGGCCTTGGAAAGAACCCATGCGGGTAAGGCACAATTAAGCTTACGGTTCGTGTGAAGTTCCATTGTGGACACGGGTATCAAAGGGTTTAAAAACAGCTTGGGAGGACAACAAAGCTGCATACATGTCAAACCCGAACTATATGTGTCAAAGGCCACAATAATAGTCAACACAGCCGCCCTTCATCGAGTGCCTAATATATGCCAGCCAGTGTCCTGGGTGTTTTACATGTATTTAATCCCCAGAAAAACTTAACAGATTAAATGTCATTAGTTTTATTTTACAGATGAGGAACCTCAGCTAGAGAGAGTTTAAGCAGCACGCCCAAGGCCACACAGCTCAGAAGCAGTAAAGCTGGGATTAGAACCTGGGTCTGTCTGCCTCTAGAACCCGTATTTTTGGCGGTACATTACACGGTTCCTTAATATGTGCTAGTTGTCAAATAGCAATACTTGTTCTATGTTCTTGGAGAAGAGGAAGAAAACGTATCTAAGGTCTGCTGGGATGGATCAGGAAGGCTTCCTGGAGAAGATAAGTTTTAAGCTGGCCCAGAGGAGTGGAACCACATGTATGTTTGTTTAAAGTTTATTTATTTATTTTGAGAGAGAGGAGGGCAGAGAGAGAGAGAGAATCCCAAGCACAGAGCCCATGCTGTC